AATGGTTTAGTAAATATACGAAATTAATTCCGATATTTACTATCCTTTCGGTGTCAGATGTCGCATTATTAGAGTGTTTATATTCAAATTTTGCCGGAATTGGACTTTTTAACGCCCCATTTTCTGATACTACTAAAAAACAAATATTTTGGGGAACTACGATTAATATATTTATAGAAAATATTCCTCAGTTTGTTATACAGGTTTGTTATCTAAACTTTTTTTTTAAAAAAAAAATGTCAATTCCCAAAATTTTATTAAACTATTAAATACATTTTTGTAGATTTTATACTTTTATAACACAGTTAAATATGAAGCTATTCCTTTTTTAACATTGGTAACTGGATCTATTGTTTTGTTAAACGATATTATTTTAAAATTATATAAAATTTTTAGCAAGACACATTAATTATTACGTTTTTAATTAAGATAATTTACAAAATTTACAAATATCTAGCTTAGATTTTATCTTACTAACTAGATGTTAAATCCCTCATTAAATGGTGTGATAAATTTTATTTTTTTTAATAATCATATATAAGCATATAATGCCATTAATTGTTATGAGCATATAATACATAATATATATATATCTTGTATGAATCAAGATTATTAATGATTATTCGTCTTTCTTTCTCTTTTTTTTTAATTAATTTGCGTTTAGTTAGAAATGATTCAAATAATCAAATTAATCATTTAATATATATCAATTTTGATTTTGGTATTGAAACATTTCTACCGTAATATTTTCTATATCCAATTGATAGATTTTTTTCGCAATAGTGATTGCTATTATTTTTTATTATCCAATTGATAGTTTTTGCAATGATGATTGCTATTATTTTTTTGTTTACACGATGTATCGTAAGTTTTCTGTTTAATAATTTAAATTCACACTTGCAATATGAACCGGGTCACACTTTTGACAAACCATTTTACAGTTGTTTTCATAAGACTGTGGCACTTGAAAATTTCGAAATGCGTTAATGGTACTATCATTACGA